AATAATAGTAATAGTAATAATAATAATAATAATAATAATAGTAATAATAATAATAATTATTATTATTATTATTATTTATTATTATTATTATTGTTATTATTATTATTAGTTTTATTAAATAATTATTATTATTATTATTATTATAATATTGTGTCTTGAAGATGCTAAAGTCTCGTTCATTTCACCGATTTGAATTTTCAATTTTAGATTTTTATAGTAAAAAATTCTCAGAAAATGTCACATTTAACTTTTTTTGCTACAGTGAAAAATTTTTAAAAAATGTCACGTTTCAGTTTGAATTAAAAACTCGAATCCGCAAAGTGAACGGCCGGAGAGTATAATAATGACCAAACCGTTCTATGTATCAGAATCACAAGTTCTTTTAGACTCTGAGGATCCCAGGAGGATCGGACTCATATGAAGTAAGGAGGGCCCACCTTTATGTGTAGGGCCTACCCTTTGAGGTGCAAGGCCCAGACTCTCTGAAGCCCAACAGCATAGCTCAAAACTTCTCAACATAAGCTAGATTCAAGCAACATGAATAGCACGTTAAAGTGTGGATAAGCACCAATAGCTACAAAATTAATAAACTACGAACGACGTGATCACTCTAGAAGAACTGAGTTCAACCTTAATGGCACTAGATTCTTGAATCCAAGGACAATAATAAGATGGAGGAGAGATTCATTGAACGTAATAGTACAATATATATTAAACTAACTAATTAAATTAGGGAGTTTCTCTCATTGAACGACAAAAAAATTACTGTTATTTCTCTACTTTTCAACCGTTATATCTATATTTTACATATATTTTTTAATCTGATGTGATTTTAATCAAATTCAACAGTCAAAAATAAAAAGACCTATAAAAAAAAGTCCCATTAAATTAAAGATATGTCTCCTTTAACTAATTAACCACTGCCCACGACGGATTCGAAGCAGCCATAATTGAACCAAATGCACACTATCTTCTTTTCCCAAAGGTTTGCGAACATGGGATTTAACAAATTTCCCAAAAGCTACCTAATTCTTATGCTATAGATTGGAGTGAAGTGAACCACTGGTTCCATGATGTTTCTGTGGAATAAAAAGTCAACCGTTGGATTAGCGTAACTATGTTATACACATAACATGGGCGTGGACTATAATTCTACAAGA